CACTGGCTGTTCCCCGGGCGGTCTGGAGGCGAACGGAGGCCGCTGATGAGCCGCACTGCTGTCACGGTCGTTCTCCAGGTGGCGGGAAGGCTGCTGCCGCCCAGGGCCTCATTTGTAGAGGTGCCAGACGCAATAGCGTCCAAGTCTTCATGCTGATTTACATCCACACAATCATCGCTTTTTATTGTGTGAGTTGTAACTCCATTTTGAAGTACACAAGTTGGTAAAATTTCTCTTGAGAGTGAAAAAATCTGTGTTTGAATTATTTTACATAAACATCGCATCAGAAGGTCTAAGCGTAGGCACTTTCTTGCATGAAATCCTGGCTTTGGTCATGCACAGCCTGGAAAGCCAGACTGGGAAGAATGGGATGTTGGGCAGAAGCCCCCTCTGAGACAAAGACAGCACCACTCGGCAGCAACAGTATTTTCGTATTTCCTTGGCGTCATCTTTTCTTCAGAACAGCTAGCCTGACTCTCCTAGGATGTCACCGCTGCTTTTTGTCCATGCTCCATCCCTCTCCTTTTTCTGGAAGGGATAGAGGGAAAATGATATGCTGCCTACAGTGCTGGGAAGTCTTCAAACAACCTTTGAGCTGAATGCAATCCTGTATTTAGTCTGGAACACAAAAAAAGATGGGGGGGAACATATTTGCTTGTGACAGTATATCCTTTTTATCATCGGGGTTTTCTTTTTATGACTAATCTACTAAAATTAAGGTTTCTTCATGTTCATATATTAATATCAAAACACATTGTCTTTGTAAAATTGCATTGAATTGTTTGAAAACAATCAAGTATTGTCTTACAGATCTTTTTGTGAGTAGCTTTCCTGAAGAAGTCACGGAGGTGGCTTTAAATAATGGTGATTTTCAGTATAAATGACAGATAGATAATACTTCAAAGGTGGCCCTTTTTGGACCAGCCCCTCAGTGCATGCAGCAGAAAACAAGCTTTGAAGGGACAATACCTTTAGTTTTGTTTAGACAATATTGTCTTAATGTCATAGAAGTATACCAAGGCAATATGTATAAGTTTCTGAAAGTAACAGTGCCTTGAACTTCAGGGTTCCTGTTTTTCTTGTGCAACTTGCATCTGGATACAGATGTGCTCAGCGTGCGTTTGCATCTGAATTGTACCAGAGTTGGTTTGTTTGAATCCTGAAATACACTGGAGTAGTAAAGGTTGACAGACCTCATATTAGAATAAAATTCGTCCTTATTATGTTGGGTCTCTAAACCCACTGAGGTTTCTTAGATGTTTTGGCTAAGATTTTTTTTTTTTAATCTGTTTTCCCTGCCCTATCCCCATCCATTTCCTCTTGCAAGTCCTTTCACATTTGTTCAAAACTTCTATTTATACCTCATTGTTTTCTTACTATTTTATCTGTAAAGTATTCCTATATTAGTGTAAACCATCAGCCAGTCATTTGGAGTCAACAATAAAGGTCCTATTGCTTACTCTCTTGCAGTAAGATGGAACTTTGGGTCCAGACCTAGATGGGATAGGGATTAAAATAAGAGAGGGCAAAAGTGGTCATGACATCATGTTTAGCATGCTATCATTATTTCCCCTAGCTAGTGACAACACTTATGAATATGTAATTCTTAACTTTTCATCAACATGTCTAATACATTTTAACATAACATTAGGCAAGATGCTGCTTGGGCCCTTCCTCCTTATCAAAACTATTTAGCTAGCATCATTGGAATGCTGAGCATACTGTTTGGAAAAACACAGAATTACTCACAAATACAGTATGCCTTAATTGGCAGAGATATTTCAAGAATTGTTATAATTCACTAGTTAATATTAGAAATCTACAGAATTTACAAACAGGAAGACTATAAAAATACTATAAACTAGCACATCTAGTAAAGAAGCAGCTACAAATGCAATTACTAAAGCATTTTTGAAGGTTACACTGGTTTGCAGTGGGGAGGTTATACATGTTTCTTGTTAGGCTATATGATGCAAGTAGATCTGATAGCACTGTGGAGCTCTGTTAATCAGTACCTCTTGTTGATTCATCAAACTTTCTTACTATATAGGCTATACTAATGAATCATTAATGACCCTTAAGATGTAAAACTTGTTATCTATTCCTTTGTAGTGCAGAATTTTTTATAAGAAAATTGCTACTCCCATTTATTGTCAGCTGCATCAAGATGATAGAGTACAGTGTTACCTTAGTTTTTTTAAAACATATTCCCTCTTATAGTGGAAATGACACTGATTAAAATGTTGTTAACATTACTAACATGGTTTACATTAATTTGTTAATTTCTAGACCTTTCCTTACATTACACTTTTTTAATTGGCAAGCAAAACAAGGCACTCTGTGCAGTAATTAATGGTATTTCCTGTGTTAAGTATGTAACTAAAAAAACCCCAAACCTCCAAACAAACAAAAAACCCTAAACAAAAAACCCCACCCTGTAATGATTTGAGGTTATATATGATGAAGATTATAAATTAATTTTTCCATATAAATTTTTTTTACTGTTAACAAAAAACATTATTATCTTTTTCATTTTTACCATAGTGGCTAAAACAGTAGTCAAATCAGACAAAAAGTGCTGCTTTTCATGTATTGTTCTTGTTAAACTGTATAAAATTATAGCATGACTTAGTATGTAACAGGCTTTGTAGACTATTTCAAATGAGGTTCCACCTAGAATAAATGTGCCACAGGTCTGTGAAATGAAGCATCTGCTAACTAACATCCATCAGTCGCATCTTGTTCTTTTCACCAAAAGCAATATAGCAGTTTACCTTTTATTTTTCTCAAAAAAAACCCAAACCCAAACAAAATCCCTAAACCAACCAACCAACCAACAACAGCAACAAACCGCAAAAGAACAAAGCCCCGAAGAAAAGCAAATGACAGATTTGCTGTTAACAATAAGAACTGGTAAAAATGAAGATGAAGAAATTGCTATTAGTTCATTGAAGCCAGTGGCTTATGCTTAATTCATGTTAAGCATGAGACTAACCTAAACTGATGTGTTTCTAATTGCAGTGCTTGAGGTTTTTCTAAGGTAAGTGTAATGGAACGCATGCAAAGATGAACACTGGAATCTTTATAATTTCATAGAAACAGATTAGCTTGTTAGCTTGTTTGCTTTTAAGTCCCTGAGAGAAGATGATTTTTTTTCTTTCCTTAGGGATGCATGAGTATATTAGGGTCAAATTATTGCTAGACAAATCTGCTGTGTACTCCTCAGATTCCTGCCCAACGTGAATCAAATTCCACCAGTGTTCAAGGTGGTCTGAACTACAGCAGGGACAGAGGCTCTTGTCCATTCCATGTAACTTGCACAGCTTACTGGAGCAATTTATTTGTGAGCCAGTTGCTCTGGACTCCTCCTGTAAACAAAGGAGAGAAAAGCACTTCCACAGGATGATTTAGATTCTTTGAGCTCTACCGTACTCCCCACAAGCCCACTGTTTTCCCTCATAGTGACCCACAGATCTATTTCACTCTGTCTTGAGAGTCCAGGTACGTTCCTTCCAGCATCTTCAGACCACTGGTGTGCTGAGAGTACCAAATTACAGGGGTTTACTAATTTTCTCACATTTACTGGTATGTCATTGATGCTGACTTACTGAGCACAATTCCCTGCTGACAGAGGCAGCTATTTTACAGAATTCCTGTTATAAACTGATCTCCAAGATAACCATTTATTTTGGTCTCATTCCTTCTGGAAGGGTTATATAGAACCCAACTACTCATGTTAGTACCTTTTCTATTTATTTCTGGTCTAAATGTATGAGCAGCTACAACCATTTGTGCTACTGTGAACAATTTTGATTAGGCTGTATAATCCTTTTCCTCTCTCAGTGGTTTCCTTTGTTGATAAGTGTATAACAATTAATCACGTCTGATTTCTCCATCTTTGTCTTAGTACACTAAGCAAGCCAGACTCTTTTAGGCCTCTCATAATGCACATCTTCTATTCCTTATCACTGCCTAACTGAAGCTGATCAAATTTAAATCTTACCAGCTTTGGTGTTTAGAATTCTGCACAAAGGTATATTCCATGTTTTATTGGCAAAACAAGGAAATCTAAAGCAGAAATGCAGGCTGGGTGGAAAATGGATTGAGAGCAGCTCTGCCGAGAAGGACTTGGGGATGTTGGTTGACCAGAAGCTCAGCATGACCCAGTGGTGTGTGCTGGCAGCCCCAAAAGCCAACCATGCCCTAGGCTGCATCCCCAGCAGCGTGGGCAGCAGGGCGAGGGAAGGGATTCTGCCCCTCTGCCCTGCTCTGCTCTGCTGACCCCCCGGGAGTCCTGCGTCCAGCTCTGGAGCCCTCAGCACAGGACAGAGCTAGAGCTGCTGGAGCGGGGCCAGAGGAGGCCCCAGCAATGATCACAGAATCACAGAATCACAGAATGGTAGGGGTTGGAAGGGACCTCTGTGGGTCACCCAGTCCAACCCCCTGCCAAAGCAGGGTCACCTAC